AGGATTCTTTCTCTGAATTGCATCTGGGAGAAACGGGACAAAAAAAATCTTCCACAAAAACAAACCCAAAAAAAAACCCCAGTTCCCTTTTTTATTAAGCACCTGACATGGTTCTGTCATCTTTAATGTTTTAAGTAAATTTGAATTTGGAAACTCCTCTTTTTGTTTGCAGGGTGGTGGTTTTATGGATATGTTTGGCATGATGGGAGAAATGATGGGAAACATGGTAAGTTACAAACTGTGATAACCAGGAACAAACAGGAAACCAGTGGATAAATAGAACTTCATTACTAGGGTTATAACGGTACATAGATTTGGACCGAACCATTTTGATAGACATTTTGGACGGTACATTTAAGTACACAACAGATACATCAGTCACAGGGAAACACTTGCGTTTAGTAGTGGGCACACATTTTATTTATCTGCATTTTGTTAACAGCAGAAGCACAAGGAGATGCTTTTCTTTGCGCTCTACATCAAACAAGACATGAACGTCTGATTCAGAATAACAAACAGAAGCTTATAGACCTGCCAGTTTCAAATCGGCTGTGGGTAAAAAAAAAAAAAAATTCTGGTCATGATACGCAGCACTAAAGAAGCATTTATGTCATAATTTGTGATCTAAAATGTTTTATGGCAGGTTGTTGATGTTTTATCGAGTCATTTTCCCACACCAGGACTCTCTGAAAAGCTAGGTTTCTGACTGCATCACAAACCAGCATTTGGTGTTTGTTTCTTTGTTCCTGTTTTATCAAATTGTGGCTTTTGTTCTCAGGTACAGACTGAACCGTGGCTTAAGCATACCGTTACACCCCTTATTCATCACACTTTGTTTATTTTTGTTCCCCATCTTGTAGGAAAGAATGTCTGGAACACCGAGCTGTCCAACGTTTTCCTCTTCAACAGTGATCTCTTATTCGTCTTCAGACACGGGGGGTCCTAAAGTTTATCAGCAGACAAGTGAAACAAGAACGGGGCCTGGAGGGGTATGAATAACTTCAAGTTTTAAAATGTTACGCCTTTATGGCTTGTCACTTTTGGCATAAGTATGACTGATGATCAAATGTAACAGTAATGACAATAAATATATTTATTTGGATTTTGTTCAGAGTGCAGCGGATTTGTTTTGTTTAACTGTGTTTTTGTCACCTTTTCTTTCAGATCCGTGAGACAAGGCAGTCCATGAGGGACAGTGAAAGTGGCTTTGAGCGTTTGGCCATCGGCCACCATATTGGCGATCGGGCACATATTATGGAGCGTTCACGAAATCGGCGTACTGGAGATCGTGAGGAACGGCAAGACTTCATCAACCTTGATGAGAGTGAGTACTGCTGGTAGTTTTATAGCGCCACCGCATCTCTGAATGATTAAGAAAATAAGCTGAAGACTAATATTTAAAATGCTTTATTTTTAATCCAATTAAATTATTGTAAATTAGGCTCACAGTAAGAGGTCTGTTCTTGCTAGGTGATGCTGCAGCGTTTGACCATGAATGGAGGAGGGAGGCAGTAAGATACGTTCCCCCAAATGCCCGCGGGCTGGATTATGTCCAAGATCCATGTGGAGGAGGACAGCAACTGGCTCTCCCTGCTCCATCCAGCTCAACACCCCCTCATCGACATGAGTCTCCCAGGCACCGTCAGCCCCACACCCGTCCACGTTACGACTGGTGAGAAGGTAAGGTAAACTTAGAGTGGGAATTATCCAAATAACTTTAGGATGCAATTCACACAGACTCACCACAATTGGACAATAAGTGATTTGAAAACCACTGCTTGATTTAAGTTTGGATTCACTGGACTCCAGTGGCCTCCACAGTCAGCAGATCTCAGCACAATCTAGCACCTTTGGGATGTTGTGGAGCGGGTGATTCAACACTTGGATGTACAGCCGACAAATCTGCAGCAACTGCATGATGCTGTCATGTCAATATAACCAAAATCTCGGAGGAATTTCTCCCAACGCCTTGTTGAACCTGTGCCACAGAGAATTAAGGCAGTTCTGAAGGCAAAGGGGTGTCCAACCCCGTACTAGCAAGGTGTACCTAATAAAGTGCCGGTGAGTGCATGCGGATCGTGGCCAGCTTGACTTGATTTATGAATAAGCAGAGAGAGCTTAAAAACTTTTTTTTTTCCATGCTGAGTTGTTCATTTTTATTGTACTTTGGTTGTTATGATGTTCCAGTAATGTGATGTTATTTTAAAGCTTTGAATAACAAGACAGTATTTAAAGAACAATGCGTACCTCCATCTAATGTTTCTTGGAGAAATTGTTACAATCTGTTGGTTGTAAACAAACAAAACAAAAGAAAGAAACAAAGCAGCATAACAGAGAATGTTGCTATGGCAATAATTTATTAGCCTTAACGGTTAACTACATTATAGTTGGTGAAACGTAGTGACATGTCATCGTTTGTATTTTCATTTATTTGAAATGAGAATAATTATATGAGCTGATTCAACATAATGCTCTTGAGGTTGTTCCCATTAGCACTAACGATAAAAGCTGCAACATTACCAACATAGCAAAGTGGGCATTTGAGTTCATCTTCGACCTTAAATGCACTTTTTGCTCATAAAATAGTGAGCATTTTAATTAAATATAGGATAAACTTGAAAATTGTTGGAAGTAATTCAAATATTTTGATGTTTTTATCAATATATTTTAAAGGATTTCAGTGTTTATTGAAAAATGTTTGACGCATTATTCAGGTGATGTATTCTTTTGTTAGAAAGAACGAGCCTTTTTTAACCATGTTGGGCTAAAAATAATCCTTTATTGTTCAAAAAAAATAATGCAGAGGCATTGATTTCTTCTGTTTTATATAATTGAAAGTATTTCTATTTTTGTCTCTGCAGGCGTCCTACTTTGCATTGTGAACGGACGGAAGGAGTCGAGGGAGAACCTCCCCGATGCTGTGAAACACGCTGAAGATGGAAGTTGACAAATGAAATGACTCTCCGTCATTAATGTTTGATATGACTGGACTGTCTAAACATGAATACTTATTATACACACACACACGCACAACAAAGCAAAACACATTTAATAGTTACATCCACAGGTCAACTTCTTTACTGTTATACAGATATACAGACACCCTTGAGTAAACTTGGGTGTAACGACACTCACTTTATATATACTCATTCTCAAAACTTGACATGCGTCTTTCCCCGCTGCATTTAGCTGCTGCAGTATACAGTACTTCTGCTGTACAGTCCATTTTATGTTAGTGTGGGCACTTGTGTGTCAGTGAAATGAATTGTATACTGTTAACTAATTAATCTAACTAAATAAAAGGTCATTAAACATTGTTAGATAATGGGCAAATGTGTCTCTCCTGTGTTGTTTGAGGTTGCACGTCATTAGTTGTGAAAACAATGCAATCTGCAAACAGTTTCCAGTTGTATGTCTGCAGCTTTGTTTGTGTGGCTCAGGGCTCTGCAACTGTTCTCATCAAACGAGACGTTTTCTGTCTTTTCTCCCACTAAATGAAATTTGCCCAGAGTCGTGAAATTTACTTGAAGGTTAAAAAAGATCAAAACAATTTTGTAGTATACTATGTTCTGTATTATAAAATAATCGGTTTGTTACATTATAAAATAATGATTTGGACATTTATTGGCAATTGTACATTAGACAAGAGAATGGAGCCAATTGTTATTCAGTAAAAGAAAATGTGTCCTGGTTTCGTTATTTTGATGACGTTTAAGCATTGAACTGTGCAAGTCTTTAAGTTCTTTTTTCTATTTGTGGAAAATCATTCCTACAACTCCCAAGTTTTAAATGAAGCATAAATGTGCAACCCCCCACAAAATTGTCTAATTTGTTGATTTAATTGTAACTTCCTGCATTTCTCCAAATAAAGACAGATACATATACTTTTACCAAGTTTTAACAATTTTAATATATTTCAACATTTGCCATATTTTTTGTAAATCTGCTCTTTGTTTCCCCAGCATCTTGACTTAAATGTTTTTCAAATGTTTTACTTTACATTTCTACAGTCATTTACTGCAGTGGTTCCCAACCCTGTTCCTTGAGGAACACCATCCTGCATGTTTTAGTTTCCCTTCTCCAACACACCTGATTCATTTGTTTACTTCCTTATCACCCATTTATTAAAATCAGGTGTGTCTTAGCAAAAAAACAACTAAAGCATGCAGGATGGTGTTCCTCAAGGACCAGTGTTGGGATCCCTTGACTTACTGTACATTGAATTACCAGTAAATAATTGTGTGGGGGTGGGTGCTTGGTGCCTTTTACTGTTAAAAATGTGTCATTTTATTTTCTTGTTACAAAAGGAATTGGTTCCATTTCTTTGTCCTAACTCATAAAATAGACAAATGTCAACAATACATTATAAATATTACATTTTATAATGAACCCAGCTACTTTTTTTCATAGAGAACATAGTATACCATTCACTGATTTGTTTATTTTATTTATTATTTCTAGTACATTTTATGGCTCTGGAAAAAGTGGACTTAAACAGCAGAAATAGCTCTTTTGATTGTAAAGGTTGCAGAGTACCTGACCTTAATTTATGAACTTAACTATTAATTTCTCTGTTAATCTAGAAAGTTTAACTTGAACCACTCTTGAGCTGTCCAAATGACATTAAAACCCAGTTGAAACTAAATGTTTTGAATTTCAATGAGGATATGACTGAACTCATCAGCCCTTGGATTTCAACAGCCCCTCTGTTAGCATTGTGTGTGTTATTTTTTTAATTAGGCTTTTAAATCACACAAATTAATACAGCTCTGAAATCAGGTATTTTCCAAATGAGAGTCACAACATACCTCCCTGGACAACGGTGCTAACCACTAACGATGCCATGAAAAAGCATGAAGACGCACGCAACTCCGATTTTAGCGTCTCTCCATTAGCTTCTTGCCCATTTCTGGAGTGATTTTAAGATTTTACTGCTTGCTTTTAAAGTTTTAAAATGTGTTGCACCATCATACTTGCATGATCTTCCTAATATCTACACTCTGGTCAAACAACCAGTTTATTTTAAGTGTCTCAAAAGCCAAACTAAATTAAGGAAGTTTTGCAGATGCCGCCCCCTGCGATTTCTTGGTGTTTGATTCAGGCGGATCCAATACAAGCTGATGGTATACAGGTGCTGGTGATAAAATTAGAATATCATGAAAAAGATGATTTATTTCAGTAATTCCTTTCAAAAAGTGAAACTTGCATATTCATTCGTTACACACAGACTGATGTAGTTCAGATGTTTATTTATTTTAATGTTGATTACAACAACTAATGAAAACCCCAAATTCAGTATCTCAGAACATTTGAATATTGTGAAAAAGTTTAATATTGAAGACACCTGGTAATAAGCTAATTAACTCAAAACACCTGCAAAGGACTTTAAATGGTCTCGCAGTCTAGTTCTGTAGGCTACACAATCATGGGGAAGACTGCTGACTTGACAGTTGTCTTAAAGACAACCATTGACACCTTGCACAAGGAGGGCAAGGCACAAAAGGTCATTGCTAGAGAGACTGGCTGTTCACAGAGCTCTGTCCAAGCACATTAATAAGAAAGCTGAAGGGAAGAGAAAGATGTGGTAGAAAAAAAGTGTACAAGCAATAGGGATAACTGCACCCTGGAGAAGCTTGTGAAACCAAACCCATTCCAAAATATGGGGAAGATTCACAAAAGTGGACTGCAGCTTGAGTCAGTGCTTCAAGAACCACCACGCACAGACGTATGCAAGACATGGGTTTCAGCTGTCACATTCCTTGTGTCAAGCCACTCTTGAACAAGAGACAGCGTTCGAAGCGTCTCTCCTGGGCTAAAGACAAAAAGCACTGGACTGCTGTTGAGTGGTCCAAAGTTATGTTCTCTGATGAAAGTATTTTGCATTTCCTTTGGAAATCAAGGTCCCAGAGTCTAGAGGAAGAGAGGAGAGGCACAGAATCCATGTTGCTTGAGATCCAGTGTCAAGTTTCCACAGTCAGTGATGGTTTGGGGCGCCATGTCATCTGCTGGTGTTGGTCCACTGTGTTTTCTGAGGTCCAAGGTCAACGCAGCCATTTACCAGGAAATTCTAGAGCACTTCATGCTTCCTGCTGCTGACCAACATTATGGAGATGCAGATTTCATTTTCCAAAAGGACTTTGCACCTGCACACAGTGCCAAAACTACCAGTACCTGGTTTAAGGACCATGGTATCCCTGTTCTTAATTGGCCAGCAAACTCACCTGACCTTAAGCCCATAGAAAATCTATGGGGTATTGTGAAGAGGAAGATGCGGTACGCCAGACCGAACAATTCAGAAGAGCTGAAGGCCACTATCAGAGCCACAGCAGTGCCACAGACTGATGGACTCCATGCCACGCCACATTGCTGCAGTAATCCAGGCAAAAGGAGTCCCAACTAAGTATTGAGTGCTGTACATGCTTATACTTTTCATGTTCATACTTTTCAGTTAACCATCATTTCTAAAAATTCTTTTTTTATTAGCCTTAAGTAATATTCTAATTTTATGAGATACTGAATTTGAGTTGTTCATTAGTTGTCAGTTGTAATCATCAACATTTAAATAAATAAACATCTGAAATATATCAGTCTGTGTGTAATCAATGAATATAATATACATTTCACTTTTTTAATGGAATTACTGAAATAAATTAACTTTTTCATGACATTCTAATTTTATGACCAACACCTGTATATATACCCTGTATATGCGCCACACGTGGCCCCGGAGCCGCAGTTTGCAGACCCCTGATGGACCCCATGTTCTGTACATGCGTGATCACACCTACAGGTCATTTGACATTCAGATTGTATATATGAACAGAACTGCAAATCCAATTTTTAGATAAACCACTCCAGTTGAAGGCTCGGCGCCGACCTCCTGCTGTCTCTCTGTGTCTAATTACACCCTTCGTTCTTTTTAAACGCCCCCTCCTGTCACCTGTCTACCTGTCTTCTCCTTTAATCCCCATCATTAGATCTGCTTTGTTCCCCAACAAGGCGACCCACTTTGAGCTGTCTTTGCAGAGATCTGGTTTCTCTTGTTGTGATATCTGCTACCTGTCATCCAATTCCTAAAATGCACTGATTATTTTTCCCCCCAGCAGAATACAGCTTCTATTCATGGAAGGAACTTGATTAAGCTTTTTGTAATGTATAAATATGAAATATGACCGTGTAAAGATTAAAACATACTCCTGCAGCCTCACTAATGTGAAGAATCCATGCAAACCCAGCCATGCCATCCCATCTTTCTTTTCTCTCCTGCTCCCTCCATCTTCCAGTGACTCACTCCCCCTCCCCCCATCGTGTCATACGCTTTCGCCACTTCTCCTCCTCCTCTGTTGCTCCCTCTCATTCGCTCTCACACCACCAGGATCAAACACACGGCAGGTAATGTTTAAAAAAAAAAGATGGATCTATTTCTTTTTCCATCCCTCTGAGCCTCCTCATTCTCATCCTTCTCACCTCCTCCTCTGTCTCATCTCTCCATTATGGTCCACATTCTCAGTCACTGCCTGAGACAGCACAGAAATTAAACTGGCTTCAGGGCTGAGAGAGGTTGGCAGGACGTCTTTTTTATTTTTAAATAGGACTGAATTATCAGCTTTTGATTTATATTTCCGCCTCGTCGTTTGTGCGACTGTTAGAGAGAGAGCTTCCCAGGAAGTCTAGTTTCCACTGCTCTCCATCCATAAGGCTGCGTCACTATAACCACTGTGTGTTTAGAAGAATCGAGAGTGAATATCTGGTGCAATGAGATGCATTTAGATCATTTTATTTAATTATTTGAAAAAGCCTTTTTTTTGGTTACACACAATATTTCATTTTTATTTGCGTCACTTAATTTTAATAATAGAAAAATGATTTTCTGTTCCAGTTATTTGCTGTAAAAACAGTAAAATTAGTCTGATTGCTTTCCCATCGTCTACAGGATGTCCATAGTGAATATTGTTGCCAGGGAGATCCTGGACTCCAGGGGAAACCCCACTGTGGAAGTAGATCTGCATACTTCCAAAGGTTACAATAATAAATAACTCCCTCTTTATCAATCACCCTTCTTTGTCTTCTTAATCTTTCATCTTTTACGTGTTCTCACCCGCCACCCCCATTTCTGTTTCAAATCTAGGTCTGTTCAGGGCAGCAGTGCCCAGTGGTGCTTCAACAGGCATCTATGAGGCTCTGGAGCTCCGAGATGGAGACAAGACTCGCTACAAGGGCAAAGGTGAGTGTTTACAGGATGAATTTACTCTTCTGTTTTATAATAATTAATATTTTTGCTAAGAAAGAGCGCACCAACTCCTCATATCTCTATTTGTCTTTGCCTTTCCAGGTGTGACCAAGGCCGTTGCTCACATTAACGACACTCTCGGCCCTGCTCTCATCGAATCTGTGAGTAGCAGTTGCTAAAATTTGCAAAGAGCAGGATGAGTTGTATGTAAAAGATTAAAAGCCTAACATTTCATGAGGGAATGCATGTCGCCCATCACCTTTATGATATAGTTGTGGACAGTGGCCATCTTAATTTATTATTGTGTTTTCAAACATTTAAACTAGTATTTTGTGGAACCTTGTGCGACGCTGTGAAATATGCTCAGATTATGCATTGTGAATAATTCTCAGCTACTACCACATCAAATTTTAGCTCGGTTTATGTAAAGTCGACTGAGTTATAGTCGTTTGCGTGCTGGCTAATGTTGATTAGCTGTGGCAGCCATGTAAAATTGGATGGACTCCAAAAGTTAATCAGATGAACATCTGAGGGTTATTTTCAGAACGTTTCATTAAAATTTCATTCAGTGGTTCATGAGATATTTTGCTGACAGAAAACAGGATTGTTACAGTTACTGTTGCTAACAGACATGGAGTTGACGCCAACAGTTAAAGCAAATTTTAAACAAAGATCTTGCAGCACCTGTTAGCACTCAGACTATGTGTTGAGGATCAGTCTTACCTGCTGCCACACCAAACTCTAGGTCGATTTTTGTAAAATTGACTGAGTCATAACCAATTTTCAAGTTCAGTTGAATGTGGCAGCCATCTTGAATCAAGCTGACTTTGACAGTTAATCAGTCCTAGATGCGAATCCAATGATTAGATTTGGCAGATTGCATTAAAATTGGTCCAAAGGTGCATGAGAGATGTTGGTACCAAACTGACATGAGTGGAAGGAGATAAAACTAGACATTTAGCTTTTCTTCCAGGGAATCAGCGTGCTGGAGCAGGTGAAGCTGGACAACATGATGATTGAAATGGATGGCACTGACAACAAATGTGAGCCTGCGTGTTGTGTGCAGATGAATATTGGTGCTGACATGCCCCTGCACCAGCTGCATCCATGTGTTATAAGATGCTGCTGCCTCTGTGTTTCCTCCCAGCCAAGTTTGGGGCCAATTCTATTCTGGGAGTGTCGCTGGCAGTATGCAAAGCTGGAGCGGAGGAGAAAGGTGTCCCCTTGTACCGTCACATCGCTGATCTGGCAGGAAATGGAGATCTGGTTCTTCCAGTTCCAGTGAGCTTTTATTTTTTATTTAAAAAAACAACAACATATACATATATATTAGGGGTGCACCAATAAATCAGCCCTGATTTCCTTAATTTTCGGAAATCGTCCGACACTTGCACGAGAAACCGATTTTACCAATTTTTTTAGTTTTAACAACAATTGTCTGAACTTCATTTATATTTCAGAGCACTACCTCATGGCCTGTTAAAACAAGTTTGTATTGTTTCTAGGATATTGTTCAAGGGTATGTTTTTCAATACAATCTTATTGGAAAATTGAAGGTGCATTGTGACTTTATAACACTTGACAGTGTCACTTATAAAACAAAATCGGTATCGGACAAAATCGGAATCGGTAGGTCAGACTTTTTAGAAATCGATGATCGGCCAGAAAACTGCAATTGGTGCACCCCATATATAAATATCCATCCATCCATTCATTATCTTTACCCACCTCTTCATCTATCTATCTATCTATCTATCTATCTATCTATCTATCTATCTATCTATCTATCTATCTATCTATCTATCTATCTATCTATCTATCTATCTATCTATCTATCTATCTATCTATCTATCTATCTATCTATCTATCTATCTATCTATCTATCTATCTATCTATCTATCTATCTATCTATCTATCTATCTATCTATCTACCTAC